TGTTTTGGCAGTACAGGGGATAGAACCCAGGGTCTTGTACATTCTAGGCAAATAATCTGCCACAGAGCTACATCCCCAATTTGCCTTTTGCACTCTTGATGAACAAATCAGATAACTGGCTTTCAGGGAGCAGAGTAGCTGGTTTTTCTGCTGCATTCAGCAAATGTCAGTGGAATGCCTTGACATTAAAATAGTGGTGGATCTAGGGCAGGAGTCAGAGGATCTGGATTCTGGTCCTATTTTATTTCCTTTTGGGGGGAGGGGGGTGGGGGGTATCAGATATTGAACTCAAGAGGCCTTAACCACTGAGCCAAATCCCCAGCCTGTTTTTTATATTTCATTTTTTATTTTGAGACAGGGTCTCACTAAGCTGCTCAGGGTCTTGCTAAATTACTTATAGCTGGCTTTGAACGTGGAATACTCCTGCCTCAGCCTCTGGTCCTATCTTGTTTCTTTCCTTTTCTGGTCTTTGTTTTTCCCAGTGATAGGGTGGCTCTGGTGTTCTTTGATAATAAGTGAACTCACCTGAAGCCATCTAAGATTTTTCAAACAGGTAAAAGCAAGAAGTTCTGTATTCGTGGAGTTTTGAGACAGTGTGGTTGGCATCTCTCTCTCTCCCGACCTTGAGGACTCTTAAACAGGCTGCAATTTTTGTTTAGAATGGTAAGGCAGACTTTTCTCAAGAGGGGCCATGGCAATAGATATAGAGACCACTGCAAGGTCTGGGGATATAACTCAGTGGAAGAGTGCTTGCCTAGTATGCACAAGATCCTGTGTTCAATCCCCAGCAATAAGGGGAACAAAACCAAAAAAAGGACCACTGCAATGGAGTCTTGCAGCAGGGGGAGAGAGATTGGGCAGTAGTTCTGATGGTTAAGAAGGGCCATTCCTCAGAGGGCAACTTAGGAGGAAAGCCCTCAACTAGGTTGAGTGAATGTTGTAGCAGGTACAGCTGTGTCCTCTCTAGAGATTCAGATGTCATTTTCCCTTACTCCTTGTCCAGTACCCATGTGCCCTCTTCCTCTGCTGTGATCTCTCACCCAGTTTTGAATTACGGAAAACTTTGGCTTTTTTAGAGACAGTTGCTTGGAACAAAACAAAACAAAAAAACACCAGCAATCACAAATTAAGAAAATGCAAAAGACTAAGTACAGTCAGTCAACCTCCAAGGTACAGAAAAATTGTAGTAATAAATGCAGGAGGCTTTTAAAGAAATTCATTATACAGTTTTTCAAGATGAAAAAAGTTCTGGAGATGCACAGCAATGTGAATATGCTTAGTATCACTCAGTTGTACATTTATAAATGGTTAAAGGAATGGAGGTGTAGTCCAGCAGTAGAGCTTGCCTAACAGGAGCACGATCTTGGATTCCATCCCCAGCACTACAATTAAAAATAAAAAGTCACAATCCCAGTACCAAAACATCACCAGTGTAAACATTCTGACATTGTTCCTTCTGGTCTTTTTTTTTTTTTGTACAACTTTGGCCTCATCTTTATGTATGGTACAAGTCATGCTATGTGTCCAATTTTATGCCCTGCTTTTAGCACTCAATGCTGTATCTCATTTGATTACTTGGGGATTTTACTTTTGGTTTGTTTGTTGCAGCACTGAGGAACAAGCCCAGGGCCTCATTTAATGTTATTTCTTTTTTTTTTTTTTTTTTTTTAAGAAAAATCAATAGCTTTATTTTTCCTCAATATACCTTTAGAAAATTTGTGTGAGAAGAGGTTTCTTGAAATAGACCTGAGGACTATGTACAAAAATCAAGAGTTTCACACCAGTAACAAAAAGTGCATGGATGAAGGTGCGGCAGCCTAGGACCTCTCCATCAGAGGGGAGGCGAGGTCTTTGATGGTTTTGGAGTTCAGCTGAGGGATCGTGCTGATCTTCAGGAGTTTGCTGCTGGCATACTTATTCTTGATGGCGATGAATTTAGTTAAGTTTTCATTTACTTTCACCACATTTTTGGCCATGTGCTGCATGACTTCCAGTACTTCATTCTCTGTGTATCCTGTGTAATACTGCTGCTTTAAGTTCCATTTTCCTTGGCCTAGAACCTTCTGAGACAAGCAGGAAGCAGCCGCAGCTACCTTAGAAGGGTGATAATGCACCATGTCATAATCAATGAGAGTCAGCTCCATCAAATATTTGGCTAATGTGTGCTGTTCAACATCAACTTCCCCAGCTTTTGATGCTCGCCTTAAAAAGTGAAGTGGCAAGGGTCGACCCAACTCAAACTTCAGTTCTTTCAAAATTAGAGTTTCCATTTCTCGGATTTGAGAACTGGTATAAGCATTGTCTGTGATGTAGACGAAGTCTTCTATATTTGGAGAAAACATCTCCTCATACTTGGAAGCCAAGAGCAGAGCTGTAATCCCAACCAACTGAAGTTTCTTACGGGAGACTGGCTGAACCTGTAAAAATCGATCCATGACAGCAATGCACATGTACAGAGTTTCCTGCAGAAGCCTAAACTTGGAGTGGACTTGAACCAGCCAGTCCACCAGGATGGCACGCATACGTCCATTTATATCTCTTCCATCCAAGAAATGTGGGTTTATGGATTGCAAAATCTCAAGCTGTCTTAGATACTGGTAGATATCTTTAACATAGTCACTGCAGAGCTGAGGGTTCTCCCAATCCTCATTATCAATGTCCTCAATTTTGCAGAGCAAGGCATCAGAAAAAGCTTGGCAGAGGTTCTCTTCCTTCATGGAGACATCCTCAGGTGTAGGAGAAGGACCCTTTGGAGCCAACATTTCCATCTGTACTGGTTTCACAGAAGCAGTGGGTTTCAGTTGTTTGTTGACATTTGTTGCTTTGGTGGGCTGAACTGATACTTTGGTGTTTTGAGTTTTCTTCACTACTTGTGCTGCTCTGGTTGAAACTCTATTTCCAATTTCTTCTAAAACCCCACGCCTGATAGTCACATGACTCTTGGCTTTAGAATTAACTCCTATGTCAATATTCTCCAAATCAGTGGACACCGTCGGGCGTCGGAGCAGCGCCATGAGGGAAGAGAAAGACAAGTGTGCCAGCCCGGCCCAGGGAGGGACACGGACCGAAGCAGAATGGAGCTAGCGTCTGCGGCGCGGTTGGGCCTGCACTCCAGGCCCGCACCGCTGGAATCTTCGGCGAGCTAATGTTATTTCTTAAGGGGCAGTTGACAATTAGTACCTTGACTGTGTACCATAATTTATTTAGGCATTCTTCTATTATTGGTCGATTGGTCATTTATAGTTATTTCCATTTCTTTGCTTATTCTCTCTCTTTTTTCAAATCTGAAGTTGTGGATATATATTGTGATATAAAACATAAAATTCACTATTTTAACTATGTTAAGTGTACAGTTAGGGTATAACATTCACAGTGTTGTGTTCTCATCATCACTGCCTACCTCAAATTTTTCATCACCTTAAACAAACTCTGCTCATTCAGTATTAACTCCCCTTTACCTCCTGCAGCCAGTCCTTGGTTACCTCTAATCTATTTTCTATCCCTGTGAATCTGCCTACTGTAGATAATTTCATGTGGGGAAATCATAATATTTGTCTTATCAGTAGGCATCTGGCTTCTTTCACTTAGCATAATGTTTTCAAGGTTCATTGGTGTATGGTGTGTATCAGAACTTCATTCCTTTTTATTACTGAATAGTATTCCATAGTATGAATATACTATATTATACCCATTCATCTGTTGAACACGGGTTTGTTCCACTTTTGGGCTATTATGAATGCCACTACAAGCATTACTAGCATTTTATTCACTGTTCAGTTCTTGTTTTCATTTCTTTGGGGCATATGCCAAGGTATAGAATTGTGAGGTCATTTGATAATCCTGTTTAATCTCTTTTTTTCAGTGTGCTGGGGATTGAATCCAGAGCCTTGCACATACATGTTAGGCAAGCACCCTCCCACTGAGCTATACTCCCAATTTATTTAACTTTTGAGGAAATGCCAAACCCTTTGCTTCTTTAATTATGAATAATGCTTAAATGAATATCTGTATGTGTGAAGATTTTTTACATTTTCATTTATTTTTTTTTAATTCCTTAAAGTGAAAGTAGTAGATTCAAGGGTGCAGCAGTTTGAGACATGCTGCCAAATGTGATTCAAAAGAATTGAATCTCCTTTGCTGTTGCTGCAATTTTCTGAGAATGTTCTTGTCACCAAATCAACAGTACCCCCACTATTTCACTATTTATGTTATGGGGATTGAACCCAGGGGTGATCTACCATTGAGCTACATCCCCAGCCCTTTTTTTTTTCTTAATATTTATTTTTTAGTTTTAGGTGGACACACAGTATCTTTATTTTATTTTTATGTGGTGTTGAGAATCGAACCCAGTGCCTCATGAACGCGCTACCACTTGAGCCCCATCCCCAGCTCCCCTTTTTGTTTTGAGACAGGTCTCACTAAGTTTCCCAGATTAGCTTTTGAACTCATGATTCTTCTGTGGCAGGCTTCTGAGTCACTGAGATTATAGGCATATGCCATCATGTCTGATTCACCATTTTATTAGTGGTGTGGAGAGACTGAACTCAGAATCTTGCTAAATTTACAAGTCTGGCCTCAACCTTAAGATCCTCCTGCCTCTGCTTCCTAAGTAACTAGGATTACAGGTATACACCACAGTGCCTAGCTTCACTATTTGAAATGTTAGAAAATGTCTATCTCTCATAGACTCGTATAGCCACACAATGACTTACCTGACTTAGCTCCTGATTATCAGCTCCTCCTCCCTCCCTTTTCCCTTGTCCTCGGTGCTGACCCTGGGCAGCCTTTGGGTCCTGTTACATCTAACTTTTCAACCTGTCTCTGGTTTGTCCCTTTCTCCCCATCCATCCAGCAACGATGAGCTTCACTTGGCTTAAAAGAAGTCCTTTAGTTCCCCTGACACTTTGCCTCATCTCCAGAAGACCTCAGGCCTCTGTGATGCCCCCCATTTCAGTGGATTCTCACAGTTTTTCCTGTCCTTCCCTCCTGCTCTCCTGCAGTTTTACAGTGAGTCAGGTATGCCTACCAAACACCTTTCGGACAGCGTGTGTGCTGTGTGTGGGCAGCAGATCTTTGTGGACGTCAGTGAAGAGGGCATCATCGAGAACACATATAGGCTGTCCTGCAATCATGTGTATCCTGCCTTAAGCTCCTGGACCACATCCCTCTTGAGACCGCCCTCCATTCAGGGAGGGAAAGTGGGTGGTTGTGTCCCTGAGCATGCTGTACAGACCTTTGAGTACTGGAGAGCCACAAGAGGCTTGAAACTGCAACCGTCCTCCTCCTGCCCCACAGACTGCAGCCTGTCTTAGTGCATGCAGTGGTTATAGACTGCCTAGGTCAAAGAGAGCCTGAGGCTGCACTAGTGAGGCTGAGCTCACTAAACCAAGATTGGATGTCCCAGGGGTGGAGGATCCTCTAATAGGATCCTTCAGTTTAGAATCAGATTTATTCTGAGTAACACTAGTAATATTTACCAAAGGTGTTTATTCAGCTCTCATTTTCTGCCTATGTTGGGAGATCCACAGCTTATCTCCATTTTGCCCCTTAATAACCCTGTAAGATCTGACGAGGGACGTGCCCAGAATTACACGGCTGATAAGAAACGAAGCCAGGCTTTGAATCTTTCACCAGAGCTGGTACAAGGCACCTTGCAGACTAGCAGGGGGCTGAAGTTTCATCCTGGTTTCCCACCATTTCCCTTGACCTGTGGTGTTCAGATTCCATGAGTTCTGCATCCGTGGCTGGTGCATTGTTGGAAAGAAGCAGACGTGTCCCTACTGCAAAGAGAAGGTAGACCTGAAGAGAATGTTCAGCAACCCGTATCCTTTGTTTGGGTCCTTGTGGGAAGTGGATGGTGGGAAAAAAGTACTGGCCAACATGACTCTGTGTCTGGATCTCTCCCTCCTGCCTTCAACCTGGAACATATTCAGCATTCAGTTTGGCTTCTCTTCTAGGGAAGTTAGGGGTGTGACATGAGGCAGGATTAACTGCTCACCTTCCCATTATAAACTGATAGTAATAGCTGCTGTCATTCACTATTTGCTTTGTGGCTCATGCTGTGTTAAGTACTTCTCTTGCATTAGTTCATTTAGTTCCTTAGCAACTTTATGACCTGAGTTCCCCTTTTTCTGCTGCATGGTTCCCTGTCCCTTCCTCTCTATACACTAGCTCAGGTACACAGGGAACATTATGTTCCTAGTGTACTCATTATAGTCCCAGAACAGGAGATTCTGGCCTCTTCCCTTTCAGGTTTCCTGCTTGGTTCTTCCAGGGCCCCGCTCAGGAACAAGCATAATTCCACGGCCAAGCGGAGGCTTGAGACTTCCCTTATTTCGCAGAGACCTGGGCCAAGCTAATCTCTCCAGTGTTTTTAGAGGGATCCCTCCACAGTTTCATGAGCTTCTCTGTGCTTTCCTCAGAGCTGGCCTTCCCGGGCCCCCTCTCCAGACCCCCTGCCCAGCATTTAGATGTAAAACAAAAGAAAGGAAACCCGTTTCCTGGCCTTATCAGGGTTTCGTTCTTAGTACCCTGGATGGCTCCTCCTTAGAGTCTCTGCCAAGGATGATTCCCTCGTGACTAGCCTCTGTCCCTGTTCCCTTCTCATTCTGACCCTGGACTCAACCCCTTCCTCAACTGAGACAATCTTCAATTTTGGACATTAGAAGAATATTCAGGTTACCCTATCCCACTCTTTGCAGTTATTGTCACCAACACATTTATAGAGTATCTAAAAATGCCAGGCCGTGTGTTCTCACACTGGCAATTCTATCTTAGAGTGTTGCCTGGAGCCCCCCCCTGCATGTTGGTCATGGAGGGCCATTTCACCCTTTTACTTCTCTGATGTCTGTCCTGTCTGCCCCACAGTCTCCTCTGTCTTCCTCCCCTATTCTCTGGGTTTAGATGACTTCACTCCAATATGGAGAGTTACAGAGAGGATGGGCAATTTGCAGAGCAGCTGGAAGGTGTGGTAGACCCAGGAAAGGCTGGGGACTCCTTCCTCCCATATGAGATGAACTCGTAGCTCTTGGATGTATGCATCTGATCCTTAACCCATTGACAGCTGGGAGAGGCCTCATGTCATGTATGGACAACTGCTGGATTGGCTTCGATACTTGGTAGCCTGGCAGCCTGTCATCATTGGCCTGGTGCAAGGCATCAACTACATCCTGGGCCTGGAATAGTCAGGAACACAGCAGTGGAGAAACCACCCCACCCACCATGGACCTCAGGGCACTCTCCTCCCTGCCCATGAAGACCTCCTGGGTGGGAAAGACTCAAAGGGGCGCTTGGGCCACTCAGGACCCCTCCGGCTGTGTCCGGGCCCGGGAGGGAAATGATGGAGAGCCAGCCTGTGGGGCTGTCAGCAGTGGGGGGCTTTTTAAAAGAAAATTATTTTGATGAATATATTTAAAAAAACTTTTTTATTGTGGAGCGTAGGAGTTAAACGCCCCACCCCTTCGAGCCTCACCTTGCTTGAGTAACATGGGAGCACAGCCATGATGCTTTTGGTTTAAAGGAGTCTTCTCATCTCTGGCTGAGAGTGCTGGTGGGTTCTCAGGTAACAGAGAGCCTCAACCCACCCACTCCCTTTCCCTTGCCTTCCCTCTGCAGGGGTGAGCCTGGTCCACTCAGTGTGGAATGGTTAAAGAGCTTCAGTTGTTGCCACAGATGAACACTGAGGGTCCAAGTGTCTTCCCTTCTACCCTGTCTGATGCAGGATGGATGTTTTATCAACTCTCTCTCCCCCTGACTAGAAGCTAAAGGCGGGGTGAGGCAAGTGGAACCTCTTCAGTGACTCTTCCAACAAGGGAAGCCCTGGGGCCTCAGAATTCATTGACAGTTTGTTTGGGGACAACTAGAATAATCAACAGCATGAATAACCTGCCCCTGAGCATGACTGTAGTGAGGCAGGAAAAGAGGCCATCTATATATAGTTAGGCCACGGAAGCCCGGAAGTGGTGATGTGCTCCAAAAGCCACTCTGCCACATCACTTCCTTCCTGAAAGCCTGAGGGAGAATGAGTATGTGTTTGTATATGCGAGTGTGTGTATGTGTGCGTGCGCAGCAGAAGGGTATCCTATGTCAACTTCCCCCAGTCGTCAAAGACAAACTTCCGTGAAGTTAACAGGGGATTCCCAGCCCAGGGAATATCCCTGTGTAAATTCTGTCACTCGTGGGCCTGACAGTGGGAATGGTGGATGGGTGGGAAGAAGGATAAGGTCTAGGTGAGTTGTAAAAAGGGGCTTCCATCCCCCTTTTTCCTGAAGAAATCGTGAGGGCAATCCCGGGCTGACAGTGCTGGCTTTCTAGGGCAGAGGAGCTGCCTCTTCAAGAAACAAGCAAGATCTTGTCACTCCCGTCTGAATAAAGCTCTGTGAGCTGGGTTGGAAAGCTGAATATCCATCTGGCTTTTCTTCTTCCTACTTCTTTCCCTGGGGTCCCTGGGGGTGTCTTCACTCTACTGCTCTCATCTGAGAGCTGGGGCCTGAGGGTGGTTGGTGCTGCTTTTTTTGCTGTTCCCCTTCCAACATCCCTGGAGTGGTAGAATGCTAGGCTTCTGACTGGTGACATTAGAAGCCTTGGAGCGTCATTGGGCCCCCTTTCAGTCTGAGGTGGCTCTCCATCCTCACTACCTGAGGTCAGTACCTATCACCACCCACCCTCCTCCTGCCACTCTGACCCAACGGTGGCTTTCCATTACCTCACTGCTCATCCTACCTGTGGGCGCACCATCAGAGGGGAACGAGGACTGGTTGAAGTGCTCAGAGATCACTCTTTCACTTTTATCCCATGGAAAACTTGGGAGAAGTCAAGGCCAAAGTTGTTTTTATTCTTAGTCCTGAGTCCCATGACTGCCCCAGTGGCCTGCCTCTGGTCTTGATGACATATCAGTGTAGTTTCTGGCTCCTCTCTCTGCCAGGTGGTCTTGCCTCTGGACCTAATTCCTAGAGATATAGTGAGGCGTTTCCCAGAAGCCTAACAGCAGAAGGTTGAGGGAGGAACTGAGAGGAGCAGAAATGTGAACTAGACATCTAGAGAAAAAGAAGAGGATGTGACTTTTGACATCATAAATTAGGAATATGAGTCTGATTTTTTTATGTTCCTGATGCATCCTCCAAGTCCAGTCCATCTCCCCATCCTCCCTGGCTATTATCACCAGGTGTCACTCTCCTGATCAGAAATCACAAACCTCAGAGCTGTTGCACACACTTGATACATGCATATATTGTAGGATGGATCTGATCTGCCTTGCACAACACTGAGAATAAATACTGCTTTAGATTTTGCTAACCCTGGTCCTGGCCCTGCCACAACCCCAGCTCCCTTTATTCCATCAGAGATCGGAATGATATTTATGTAGCTCTCCAAGCTGCTAGAGCCTATGTTGGGCCACTGCTTCACCAGGAAGTGCCTTCCCCTCCTCCTAGGGCCAGCTTTCAGCTTATGTTAGGCTTGACTGTAAGATTTTCTGCAAACGAGAGGAAAGTACTCTTGGTGTACTTCCTGTGACGTGGCACATGGGGGTAGACACAGCTGAACTGGGCTTTGCAGCTCCGAGGAAGGAGCTTCTAAAAAGGAAGACTCTTCAGGACTTCTTGGGAGCCAGGTAGGGGGTATTTAGACTACTAGTGACCCTCGACTGTAGCTCTGGCCAAAGGTACTAGGACAAGGGAAGTGAGAGGGTTTGTGGGTGTGATAGAGGGTATTGAGTGATGTAGCTGGTTGGAGGTGAGGGAGCCTGAGAAAGACCAGGATGGTGATAAGCTGGTGAAGCATTAAGCCTAAAATGATTGGTGTTCCAATTTGGGGTTCCCAGTGCCTAGAAATGTTGTCCCCTTGATTATCAGTATGAATGTAAAAGAGGAAGCAGAGGCCTGCTCAACGGGAAACAAAGACATGGTTCTGAAGGATGGAGGGGAACACCAAAGTCCTGACTCTTGTCTAGGTCAAAATTGATCTATGAGAGAATCATCTGGTTCACACGTAGGTGACCTGAGCAACGAGATGTATATAAGACAACAGTTTGCTATTTGGAGAACAGGGGCCCAAGAGTTAATTGGATCATTTCTGGGCCCTGGAGCATTGGCGTAAGAAGGTGCAGTACCTGCCCCTCTTAGTGGCTTAGTGCCTGCTTTGAATCCCTGGTTAGAACAAAAGTGAAAGTGAAACGGGTGCTGGGCAGTACTTTCCCAGAAGGAGTTCACTGCATCCTGCCCTTCTCAGAACCACTCCTGACAGTGGAGAGAGCATCACCTTCCTTTGTGACTAGGTAAGTCCCTGGTCCCTCTTGGGGCTTGTTTCTACATCCCTAATGCAGGGGTAAGATTGGACTAGATAGCCTTCACATTAATGTTAAAAAGAGTTGGGTGGGTCAGATTGTCACTAGTGATACCCAGCTTGTATCTGCATGTTGACATAGCTCCAGCCTGGGAGTCACTGGGACAGATGGACAGAGTAATAGCAGTGGCCTGGCAGCCCACTGAATATTTCAGACCCAAAGACCAGCTGTGGAGTTTATAAATCCTCATGTATGACTGGGATCTAGAAAGACTACTGAGAAAACGTGGTTGTCACCCACATTTCCCCATTCCTAACCCTTCCCCAGAGAGGAAGAAGTCACAGATATATAGAACCTGAGCTTGCCAGCTCCTCATGTACATCACGACCATGGGACAGAACTGGATACCAGGTGGGACTTGGGGCTGTGCATGGAGGGGAATTGGGTGGGGGTTGTGATCAGAAAGGAGCAGTGCTACCATCTACACCCCAGGTGAATTCCACCCAAGTCAAGAGTGCTATTACTGGTATATGTGTGTGTGTGTATGTGTGTGTGTGTGTGTGTTGCTGGGGATTGAACCCAGGGCCTTGCAAGGCAAGCACTCTACCAACTGAGCTATATCCTCACCCCATGAGTGTTGTTACTCTTAAGTTTCTATCTAGATACTGTGGCTCTGGCTCCATTCGAGGGCTTCTTTGTGCTTCATTCAAAGGCCTAAAGGGTGGGAGCCGAGGAGTCTGCCCCTTGGATTCCCTGAATCTGGGTCACAGTCTTTACCCAGGCAGCAATTCCATCTCTGGTCAAGATAGGAGCTGACTCGGTGACTGTCCTCTCCTTAGACTCCAGTTCTTTGTGGGTACTGCTTCTGTATCTCCACATCGTCACTCTTTTGGCTGGGGCCACACCTGTTCCTCAGACTATTGCAGCTGCTACTGCCTCAGCTGGGATCTCCAAGGACCCTAGCCCCTCTTGGTCTCCAACACTTCCACCAGCTAAGAGGTGCCCAGCATTGGAGGTGACCTGGCCAGAAGTGGAAGTGCCACTGAGTAAGGAACAATTATGTTAGGATCCCAGGACACTGGCCAGAGGGTGGAGATTATCCACGGGGTTGGGTTGACTCCAAAGTTAACTTTTCACCTGCTGTGTATCACTAGCCAGGCCAGCTTGGCAGAGTGCTCACCATTCTGACCCCCAACCTGGCATCATGGTGTGGGCTCAAGGCCCAGTTCCCAAGACGGCCCCTTGCAAAGGGGACAGAGATAATTCAGACTCAGAATTGTTGTAGGACCTCAAGGGCCTTGTTTGTAAATGTACTCTAAGGTGCAGCCCCTCTCCCCAGAGACTGCCTTCCCTTTGGCCATCTCAGAAGAGCATCAGCCTGCTAGCACTGAGCACTTGGCCTAGGGCGCCTAGAATCTCAGAGCCTGGGCACTGGAAAAGGTCATCCTGAAGAAGAGGCTCAGAAGTGGAATATGTGACCTAGGACCCTTCCCCACATACCCATGCGTAGGCCTAGATAACTGTACTTCCCCTTTATAGGCTTCCTTGCCTTGGTGGGGTGCACAGCAGCCTTCCAGGTTCCTGATTTATGTGTCCGTGAGGAGCTGGCAGGGTGGGGAGAAGGGAGAGCCTGCTCTGCAGAAGGGCTAACAGCCATTTGTATCCCCAGATGGAACGCTGACCTTGTCCTGTACTGCCTGCAGCCACTTCCCCGACTTCAACATCCTATACTGGTTGGGCAATGGTTCCTTCATTGAGCACCTCCCAGGCCGGCTGAGAGAGGGCAGCACCAGGTGACAGGGTGGTGAGGCCAGCGGGAGGGAGGGCTCCCGCTGCAGCTCTCACACACAGCTTTTCTTTCCCGTGTTCCAGTCGAGAGCCTGGAATTAAAAGCACTCGACTGTGGAGATCCTTGGTGCTAGAGGAATTGAGCCCTGCCCTGCGAAACACCATCTTCTCCTGTGTGTTTATGGACCCTGGGCAGGTTGCCCAGCATCATATCATCCTGGCACAGCTCTGGGTGAGGAACCCAAGGGAGGCTTCCAGAGACATGTCGAGCTCCACTTCTGTGTGGGGAAGAAAGGAAGGGAAGGCCCGTCAGAGAAGCCTCCAAGTTAATGCCCCCATTTTCCCTAAGGTCAGCCTGAGGCAGAAACAAAAAGGACTTGAGGACTTGGGCAGGGGAGGCATGGCCTGAAGGAAAATGACCAGATGTCCTTCCATTCCTTAACCCTGATCCTTGTCTGCCTTTACTTCTCCAGGCTGGGCCGAGGGTGGTCCTGCCTGGCTCTCAAGAAGCCCTGCCTTCCAGCCAGAGCCCAGGTCCCCAGCTGCCCACATCAGCAGGGTCAAGAGTGAGCACAGGGCCAAGAATAGCACCACCGTGAGCAGAGCCTGGACACTTCCCACCTGGAGGGTGAAGTCTTGGCTGCAGGCTGTGGGCGAGCAAGCGGCTCCTCTTCTCAGATTCAAACGTCCTTCCCACCCACCTAGAAAATCCCAGTGACCTCCCCTTAAGGCTCCCTCCTCCAGCTTGCCCTTCTCTTCACCTGTCTCATTGGCTTTTCTATGTCCTACTCATCACACATATCTCCTGCTCAGAAACCTTCAAGACCTGTCCAGCACCTTAGCCCAAGACTCACATGTCCTGCCTGAGCACCCTTCCTTGTTTCTAAGATGGCTCCCACTCATGTGCCTTTGCGTCCTTGGTCCTGTCTTCCTTGCTATTCCAACAGGTGACCCTGGGAGACTGGTTGAAATGCCGCCTCTTCAGTGATGGCCACACACAGCTCTGGCCACATGTGGCATTGATTTCATGTTGCCTACATGTATATATTATTTTTTCACCTTAATGAACTATCCCAGGGAAGGGGACAATGGCTGCTTCTGATCCCCAGTCATCCCCAGCAGGACTCACAATAAATCCTCATAAAGGATTATTCAATGGACGCATCTTGACATCTGCTTAGTCATTTAGACCTCAGTTCCGCTCACAGGAACTTTGCCTGTCCCAGGAGGGAGCATGGGAAGAGAAGGACTGCCACTTAGAAGCCTTGCCTCTGGCTCCCAAGAAGCCTTTTTAAAAAAGAAAAGAATTGCTCAGGAACAGAGGCCAGAAATGGAGTATGGGAAGATCCTGGGGACAGAGGAAGGCTCCAAGGAGCCTAGATTTCCCTCATTCCACACAGATCAAGGCTGCTTAGCACTCAAGGGAGAAAAATAGACTTTATTTACAAGAAATAACATTTAAAAAAAGATCCATCCCAGCCCTTAAAAACCTTCCAATCACTCCAAATCCAACCCCAGTGCAAGTCTGGGGAAGGTAGGGTATGAGCTGCTGTTTAAGGCTGCCCTCCCACCCCACGCTAGCCCTGAGACCCAGGGCCCATTTGTCCTGGAAAAGAACATTCCTTGGGCATCTGTGCCCTTGTGGAAGAGAGCAGGGGCTCCTACTAGGTCATGCCCAGTCTTCAAGAGCAAGGCCCCACCCCCTGCTAGCCCCAGCCACGGGGAGATACAAAGGCCAGGGCCTGCTCCTCTGGTCCCCTCTAGGCTGGGAGTAGAGTGGCTGGGCCCAAGAATACAGCCACTCAAAGCCAGCCTTATATCTGGTTATGATAGAGAATTGACAGCTCCAACAACAACAAAAAAAATTAGGAGGCAAGGTTGGGAGAGGGCCCACACTGTCCAAGCTCGGAGCCTCCTGGGCCAGCTCTGTGAAGGTCCAGGTACAGGCCAGGGTGTGGGCAGGCATCACTGTCTCTAGGGGTTTGGCCACTATTGGCCTGGGAGCTGAGAGAAGGCACTGAGAGGGACAGTAGAAGGAAAAGGACCAGGAGAGGTCAGCATCAGGGTACACAGGTGGGGCCACTCACTGGTACTGGCCTTTAGTGCTTTGCCTGAAAAAGAGAGAGAGTCACATGGTGAAAAACCCTTCCTCACCCAAACACCTGACTGGGATTCCTTCCTTCATGAATCTGGACACATCTAGCTTCAATTTACCAGTTTCTGGCCATACTTAAGCAGCTCTGGGTGTTGTCAGTGGAAAGGGGGTTTACCTAGCTCCCCTCTGACAATAAGCTGCTATTACCAAACCCAGGGACACTTCTTAACTCTCTAGTGGCCTGACTTGGCCCTGCCCTGCGCTCCTGCTCCTATCAATGCCTCTACCTTGCCCTTGGCCCGAGGGGTGGTAGTGGCCGCAGAAGCAGTGGCAGCACTGGCTGTGGTGGTGGCAATGCGTGGAGAGCGGCGGGTTCCACTGCGGGTATTGGGGGAGGCCTTGGACTGGGCCTTCTTTGAGGCTCCTCGTCGTAGAAGACTATTTCCCAGCTTCTTAGGTGTATTGAGGATGTTGAAGGCCATTGACTGACGCTGGTCAGCCTGTGGAAGAAGGTCAAACTGGGAATTCACAGCTGCCTTCCCGGCCAGCCTGCTACTCCAAGGCTCAGCCAGCAAGGCTTTGCTAGTGTCTTCTGTCCCCTCCAATCCCGGTCTAACCTGTTTTAAAACAGCTGGAGCTTTCTTCTGGGCCTCAGTAGTGCTCTGTTTGCGCCCTTCATGTCGGTCCCGGGGAGTCATGGGGCGTGGGAAACAGCTGGTGGCCTTCTTGGACTGTGGGGAAGAGAATATGACATCCCAAGCCAGGTATCTTGGGTTCTTAGAGCCAAGACTTCGTCAACCTGTTCCCTTTTCCATGGCCCCATCCATGCATCAGGCCTTTGGAAAGAAACCTCCCCTTTAATTCACTTCTCAAACTGGGTTAGCTGAGCCTGACCTGGACACACTGCTATTCAGAACAAAACACAGAAGCCACTGTCACCTACCTCAGGGGTGCCAGGGCCCTGGTGGCTCTCTAAAGAGACCCGTTTGCGCTGCTGCCGTGTGGTGATACCAGTGCCCTCAGCAATCTGGGTTGGTTGCATGCTGGCTCGGCGCAAGGTCTCCCGGGGGTCTCCGGTTTTCATCTCTTCATCTGTGATGGTGCCTAGGCTCAGGGAAGGCTGCAGGAGGTAGAAGTTGTCAGTGAGCCCCAGCTGTACAGAAATGGAACAGGAACTGGGCCTACCTCAGAACTTTTCAAATGCCTGACACTTGGAATGACTGGATCCTTCCTACCTTAAAAGGCGTCCCCCTTCCTGTTATCTACCTGTACCCCAGAAAAATAGGCAGGAGTTCCATACAGACTCCTCTCTGAACTCCTATCCACTCACAGTGATTTAATCCTGAGCTGCTACAACTGCTGGCCATTCCATATGGAAGCATGAGGTGGTCACCCTCCTCAGCAGGAGAGACCCAGGACACTAGAGTGTAGGAGTTACTGCACAGTGACCCCCAAGGCTCACCCTGGACTCCAGTGGATAGCAGGTCTTCAAGTGTGGGGGGCATACTCGGTTGCGCTGTTGTAACTCTGCAATGCGGTTCCAGTCATCCATCTGCTCAGGCTCATCCTGGCAAGAACCCATGTAGAAGCTGTTCCTTCCTGTGGAGGGCAGAAAAGTTGTCAGGAGCTAGAGTCAGCAAATTCCCCACTGGCCCTGATACTTTCAGATTCTGCTGCTAGTGTTCCCTTCCACCTACCCCAGGGACTTCAAATCTAATACCAATGCTACAGGGACAGGAGTGAGACATGCTGACCATTTCAATCATGAGGCTTTGGTTGCTGCTCTCTCCCTGGGAAGGTCGTTTGCAGAGGATAGGATTACATACTATTCACTTGTCAAAGCTTGGTGTCTTACACTAGGAGAAACTAATTAAGGGCCAGGAATTAATACCTGGAGGAGTGGAAGGAGTTCCTGGAGCCCAAATAGCAACAACATCCAAGAAAACTCTGGCCAAGCTAGCCCTTCCAAGAGCCCATCACCAGCTGAGGAGGGCTTCTGACAGGTAACTGTCACTATCATGTCACTATCATGTGTGAGCACCCCTGGTTCGGACTGTCCCAGCATTACCATAGCTGGACAAGCGAGATTCTGAGACTACAGGGAAGAAAGGCAGGTGGTACCAGAGCAGCAAGGAAGCAAGGGGGCCAGCCTTGGGATTCTAAAAGCTTGCCTCTTTTTCTTGTACCAGGATCTACTTCTAGTCCTCTTACCTGGTGGGGCCCCACTGGACACCCTGGCCTGGGAGCGGCGAGCAGAGCTTCGAGTGGTGGGTCGGTAGCCAGGCAGGCTAAGCAGAGCTGAGTTGCCATCATCAGGAGAGCCCAGGCTGGGTAGAGACTGAGTTGAGGAGGCGGGCCGCAGGGTGGCCTGGGAAATAGGGGCAGACTGTGTACTGTAGAAGGATGAATTGGCACTGTCTGGTTCCTCCACATCTAGCTTCTGCAAGAATATGAGTTGTGTTGATAAAGCCACCTCCCATTCTCTCCTTGAAGCCCCACACCCCATTGCCCCTCAAGGGCCATGCATGTCTGCAAATGAGCAGAAAGCCTTTATAAGATGCTGAGCCTATCAAGACTCTTTTCTATCCATTTTTTTCTCCATGAAGTCCTCTAAGGGAAGGCAGGCAGAGTTATCAATCCATTTCAGAGGTACGGTATAAAGAAATAAAGTAACATCTCAACTAGGAAGTAGGTGAACTAGAGCCAGAACCCACAGATCCTGGGATGCATCATACACTCAGCCTTGGCCTTCAACCTCTGCTGTCCCTTAGGGTCAGAATTCCTGGACCCCTACCATCTTCTATAACTTCTCTGGCTTCTTGGTAGAAGGCACCTTGCATACAAAGAGCCACCTGCTGCATAAAGGCACCTCTCCTCCCAGAGAAAAACAAGGGCAAGAGCCCAGGCCTGGGAGGCCGTCCACTGGGGGCCACACCACATCTCAGCTGCACAAGAGTGTGCTGGAGGCATGGACTGGGCTGCAACTTCCCATCCTCTCCTTTCAGCCTGCAAGGAATCAATGCTAATCAATGTCTCACATGAGGTGGACACTAACCTTGGAGTTAATTACACAGGGGTCTAATTCAGCTCTGCCCTTTTCTACAGAAAAGCTCCTAAGTCACTGCCCTTCGGATCTTTCCTAAGGGAAAGATACAGCTTTTTCATCTGTATATTAGGAACTGGTTGGTCATCGTGCCTCATTCCTGAATGAGGACCTAAGGGGAAAGATGCCTATGAAAGGAAGTAGGAATTACTGTCCTGGAGCCCTATTACCAGCAGCCTGACCTTGGTCATGGTAATGTTGATGATTTGTGTTGTACGCCTACGAGCAGACCGGGTCTTACGGCCAGAGTCCAAGAAGACATCCCCCAGGGAGTCTAGACTGCTCTCCAGGGGGGCTTGACCTCGAGCAGGGATGGGGGTGAAGTAGAGGCTCTCCAGGGATTCCACCTTGGGGGGCAGGCGCTGGGAGATGGGTGAGGCTGGCTCTCCAGGGATGCTTGTGCCATCAGGCTGGGTACGAGGCATCTTGCTGTGGAAAAGAAAACTGCTCAGGCATGCTTCCTGGGTTGGCTATCACTTTGGTCCCCAGTGGCCATTTCTTGCATTTATTATAAGCAGAGGTTCAGAAAAGCCCTTGGCCTGGGCCCAGCCTTCAGTCCACTCCTGGGGCTTCTAAGTCCTCCATACCAGTGATTCCTGGGTCTCTGGGCTAAGCCTGCTCTTTAGGGCTTAGATATCCCATGGAGGCCACAGCTACTTCACAAACTAAGCCCATCAGGCTGGTCTTCCTCATGCTTCTCCTGTTTCATTACGGGGGCACACACTTGCAAGGCCCCAGTCCTTGAACAGAGACACAGTCGTCCTTCTGCCAAGCCATCGCCACACTGCCTAAGCAGCTCTTCTCTCCACACTCCTCTCCATGCACATGTCCTTCCTTGGTCAACCTTGCCTCCTCTTACCTAGACTTTATAAAGAATGGCTTCTGAGAGAGTCAGCAGAGTAGTGGCAAGGACAGACTTGGGCCAGCCTGCCCAGGTTCAAATCCCAGCTCCACGACTGTGG